CTGGCATTTTCTTCTAGTCTCCCAGATCCCTGTACTAACATGCACATATGCATGTGATTACCACTCAGAAGACAGAGGCAAGCAAGACCAGCCTGGTCTACAAAGTGAATTCCAGGACAGCCAGGGCTACAGAGAAATTCTGTCCTGAAAAACCAAAATAAATAAATAAGCTAATATAATCTTCATTTTTAAAAATCCTAAAGAAACACAGATAATATTCAGCAATTACCTTAAGTTATAATTTTTAAAACTATGATTCAATTTAATATGAAGAAACTTGATAAAGTAAAAAGATCCTATAGTAGTTACCACAGAAAGAAATAAGTATAATAAAACCTAACATTTAACACAGGAGACTGTGCCCTAATTTTAAAATACATGGCTGCCTCTCACTGTAAATTAAGGCTTGCATTCCACTTAAAACACCAGATAAAAATTTCCATTCAAGTTAGAAACAAAACACAGATGCCCAAGAGCATAAACATCAATAAAAATATCGACAAGAAGACAAAAATATCAATAATGCAAAAGATGTCTTCTTGAAACCCCAAGAGAAGCAGCTGGAGAAGTACTTAGATGAAGAGAAGTTCATAAAATGGCCAGACTAATGATATCTGCACATTAACACCTAAATTAAAACAGCCAATTAAATAATGAAATGAAACTTGCCCCCAATAAGCAAGAAAACCCAAAATAAAACAAACAGCAACAAAAGTATACAACACACAAAAAAATCACTTGTTAAGAATCTGTTTTCTAGGCCGGGCGGTGGTGGCGCACGCCTTTAATCCCAACACTCGGGAGGCAGAGGCAGGCGGATCTCTGGGAGTTCGAGGCCAGCCTGGTCTCCAGAGCGAGTGCCAGGATAGGCTCCAAAGCTACACAGAGAAACCTTGTCTCAAAAGACCAAAAAAAAAAAAAAAAAAAAGAAAAGAAAAAAAGAAAAGAATCTGTTTTCTGTTTTCTGGGTTTGTCCCCATTGCCCCACCCCACCCCCACCCCAGGCAACTTGTAGAGTACACATCATGTGTAGAAGCCAGGGGGCAACATCGGTTATCACTCCTCAGAATCGGGTCTACCTCACTTTTCTGAGAGGGTATGGCACTGGACTCATGCTCTGCAATCAGACTAGGATGGCTGGCACCAAGCTCCAGGGATCTGGTTATCTCTACCTCCCTAGCCCAGCCTGGGTGCCAGGGATCAACCTCACATCCTCATGCTTGTGCAGAAAGCACATTAACTGACCAACCTATCTATCAAGATGGAAAAAGTTCTCATGTTTACCTAAAATAGTGGCCCTTATCCCCATTTGCCATGAAAATCATATGAGGAATAGAAAGTATAACCATGTTCTGGTCATAACCTAAAGATTCTAACCTAGTTGGTCAGCAAGAGGTTCAGACATTAGTGTCGTTAAAATTCCCCAGGTAATTCTCTAATCTGTGGCCAGGGCTGAGAACCACCCTCAGAAACAAAAGTTGAGTGAACAGTTGGGATGACTTTCTGGAACAGATACAGGCAGAGATCAGTAACTAACGCAAAACACATAACAGAGGGAAGATGGATGACTAATATCTAAATAGATTGAACCTTGACTACTATCACTTGGGGGAAAAAAAACAACACTGGATTACTCTTTGGTGAGTCTTTGTTTATTGGGAGGCAGGAATTCTTAAGAGCATGGTGCTAGGGTTGGGGGTGCCCAGAGCCTCATGCTTACTAAACAAGTGCTATGCCACAACCAAAAGTGAGGTCAAGAAAGATTCAAGAAATAAGAAGGAAACATAAGAGAAAACTTTTCTCTTACCTTTTTTAGAAGAAGGGGGCAACAACACATCTTGCTTATATTGTCTATGTTGGTCTCCAACTCCGGAACTCAAGCCATCCCCTTACCTCTGCCTCCCAAGTTGTTAAGACTACAGGTGTCACCACAACCAACACAAAACTGTATTTATAATTTGGAATAGGGAAAGTACTTTTGAAAATGATATACAATCTAAAAGCAATACAAGGAAAAAATGGATGTTTCCATACAAACTGAAAACACACACCTGACAAAATATGTGACAGTCACACTGTAAACCTGTTGAACTAACTTGATAAATTAAAGAGAGGGAAAATATCTACTAAAAGTCTTAAACTTTTAATACATAAAGAATAAGGTCTAGCTCAGTGGTAGGACACTTGCCTAACATGTGAATACCTGGGATGGATCCCTAGCACTAAGCAAGCAAGCAGACACACACTCGTGCACACACACATGTAAAATAATCTGAGAAAAACAATTATTTGCAAATCTATGAAAACATCCTAAAAAAAAACAATTTGACTAGAATTACAAGAGTAACAATAGTTTTCAATAATATCTATCTTCTTTTTGAAGTTTTCTTTTGTTCTAAAGAAGGTCTAACCATGTAGTCTGGCTAGCCTAGAAATTGCTGTTTATCTCAGACTGATCTAAATTTTGGCAATAATCCTCCTTGCTTTGTGAAAGCTAGAATTACTAGAGTACAACATAACACTCAGGCTATATCTGTTTATTTAAAATGTTAGTATTCTTTCATTAAAAATTCCCCCATCAGGACTGGAGAGACAGCCGAACAATCTAAGCGCATTGGCTGCTCTTCCAGAGAACTTAAGCTCAGTTTCCATCACCCACAACAGACACCACATATCAGACTATAACTCAAGCTCCAGGGGATCTGACACCCTCTTCTTGCCTCTGCAGACACTCAGCTTGCATATATACCCTGAGATAAACATATACATAAACTTAAAAAAATTAACTACACTTTAAAAATTTACCCATCACTTACCCACTTACAAAGATATAAATGTACAAAATATGTATAAAACAAAACTACTGCAACAGTGAACACTGAAATAATCTAAGTCCACAGAGCACATATCCTATACCAAACCAGATACTACTAGAGTCCTGTGAAGAATGACAAACAAGGAACCATATCCAACTTAGATTGTTAACTTATAGAGTGGTTGTCTAGACCTTATGGAATGTGTAATAACACCAAACCTCATGTTTAATGAAATGTGGGCTTGCATTTTGTAAATAGGAGCTAGAGGGGTGCCTGAAACTAAAAGCACTTGTTGTTCTTGTGGAGGACCTGGGATCGATTCCCAGTAACCACATGGCAGCTTGCTGTAACTCCCGTTTCGGGAGATCTACCACTCTCTTGTAGCTTCCACGGGCACTGTACACGCGGTACACAGACATACACACAGGCAAACATCCATATATAAACAAATTTCTTAAAACACTTTTTTGTAAATACCAGTTTTAAAGGAACCTCATAGGCAGGCATAATGGCAATCACTGTAATCACAGCACTTAAGCAGCACATGCAAAGGGCAGTCACAAATCTGAGGCCAGCCAACTTTGCACATCAGTTCTAGGTCAGTGAGAGTTACAAAATGAGATCCTCTCTCAAAAAGCCAATTGGGGTCCTCCATAATTTAAGATTTTTCAATAATCCTGGGACCAAAAAGTTTGAAAACCATTGCATTATGTTAGTTGTATGTTTTGAACATAATCCCAATTCTCAAAAAAAAAATTTCTTTTTAAACTGAGCAGTTTGGAATATGAATAGAAGGGTCCAACAATGGATCTACCCACAATCAATAAGCTCATTAAAACTCTCCTTCCAATCTAACTGTTAAAAGGGTGTAGATGCACACTGTACCCTCTGCCAAGTATAACTACATTCTCCCTCTACTATTTAAAAAGGTAAGTGCAATTTTAATGTTGGGAATCACTTCACTTTTATTTCTAAAGTTAAAAAACAAAACAAAATATCTTATCTATGGTAGCTTCAAGACTTTATGCCAGTCTGCCCATGTTCTCCTCAACTCTCCAGGAAATTGTATTCTCATTTCTCCTCTTCCCTTCTTTAGGACTAATGAAATTCACAGAACAGCCCTACCTGCAATTTGTTGCACCCAGCAGCTGCCATTCAAAGTCTTAGATCACAGAGCCTAAGTTAAGGTTTGGTACTTCAATGGCAATCAGCCTGTTTCTCTTTCTGTACCCTTCTCTAATCAGAATCCACCTTTTTTTTTTTTTTTTTAAGCTGTATCACATCTATCTTGTTATTATCCTTCCCTCTAAGTAAAGATCCTGTTATACAGGCTAGCCACAAGGCTGGTGTCTGTAAACTCCAGCCCAGGCCTTTCTCTAGAACAGAGATCAAGACCATGCAGAACTATCTGGAACTATCCAGAGAGTTATGAAAGTCCAGAGTGTTGGGCAGCATATGTTCAGTATGCTAGTCAGTGAGCCAAACTCTCCAACAAGCTTCCAGGTGATGCTGGTACTGCTGGTTTGAGAATGCCCACTTTTGAGAACCATTGCACTGATGTTTTCAATGGGGCACAAGGGTCTACAATCCCCCTGACTCTACTCAGTCCCTCTCCATTGTGCCAACAGTTGACCATTTCAAACATACCGTCTTTATGAATAAAATGGAGACTGTGACAGTAAACATATTCCCAAGTGATATAAAGAAAAGAGCAGACAGGAGAATGTACTTCATCATAAGTAAATAAACATCCTTTACCAGACCCTCCCTAGCATTAAAAAGTTGATTCTTAGCAGAAACTGCCCTTTAACCATGTGGTTCCATTTCTACTTATTTTCCTCAGAGGCTAAAAACTGGCAACCAGTAGCATACATTTATAATTTCAGTGCTTAGCTGGCTGCAGCAGGAGGTCCCTGAGTTGAAGACAACCTAGGCTGCACAGGAGTTCAAAGCTAGTTGGTCTACACAACAAAATATGAATTTTTTTTTCATTTTAAATATAGGAGGTGGAGATTTTTTATCTGAAAGGGACTCCAAAAAAAACAAAACTGTCTCTTTCATGTGACATGTGCAACTCTCAACAGAAGATAAAAAAAGGAGCCATATAGTCCCATATTGCCATGTTACTTGAGAGGAAATGCCCACCATCAGTCAAGAAGCACTCAAGCACTTCAGCTCACTTACCTTGGTCATGCCTCCTGCCTGTGCCGTGTTCAGTCCAGCATGGCTAGCCATTTGTGGGGAAACCTGTGTCAAGGTCTCAGCCAGAACACTGCTTGTGGCTCCCTGCATAGCTGGAGCAGGGTAGGGCATTCCAGCTCCCCTTCCTCTTCCAGCAGCCCCAAGTGATCCATTCATGACTTGAGCCTGCCCTTGTTGAGCCTGATTCATTAAGCTATGGCCAGAGTTACTATTGAGAAGGCCTGGGTGGGTCTGGTTGAAGTTAGCATTCATGCAGATTCCAGGTCCAGTCTGTGATGTGGCAGGGCTACTGGTCACCAGCCCCACTTGCTTTTGTGCTTGTGCATTCAGTGCTTGGGAGGCTGGGGGGGTGGGCCCAGAGGTGCTGGCTGCCTGTTTGGGCAGGCTAGGGGTTGATGAGTCTCCCTGGTTCAGAGGGCTCTTGCCCATGGCACCCAGGCTGGCCATGTTTGTACTGTTCGGCTGCCCCTGAGCCTGCTGGCCACCAAGGCCCTGTTGCACAGGGCTGCTGGCACTCACATTTCCTATCCCTGGGTTGATGCTAGAGCCGCTGCCTCCTCTAAGAAGTTCCGATAGTTGTTTATGTTTGGATGCAGCATCTGGAACAAGGCTCCCACTGTTTAAAATGTTTAATTCTCCATTAGGAATCAGCTCATCAGGAAGATCATTTTCCAAGTCAAACAATGATCCAAAATCTAGAAATTAAGCAGAAATGGCAATGAAAATCTAAGAAAACATAACAGCTCTCCAACTGTCATGTTACTATGATCTTAATATAATGAAGCACTTCAGATAGACTACTGGTACATCTTAAAAGTAGTATTGCCTGGCGTTGGTGGTGCATGCCTTTTATCCCAACACTCAGGAGGCAGAGACAGGTGGGTTTGAGGCCAGCCTGGTCTACAGAGAGAGTTCCAGGACAACCTGCAAAGCAATACAGAGAAACCCTTTCTTGAACCCCCCCCCCCAAAAGATTAATATCAAGACAATCTGAAACATCATTTGGGGTGATTTAAAAAAGAGAATTTTTTTTAATTAAGGAAAAAGGGAACATTAAACAATAATTTAAAAGGGCCAAATTTTTAAAAATTATATCCTAAAACAGTATGGTATTAAGAAAAACTCAAATATACAAAGAATAATGAATCTTTAAATATTCACTAAATTTAAATGTTAAGATGCAAGCAAAGATGGGTGTGATGGTATATACATGTAATCCTAGCACTTGGCAAAGGGAGATGGGAGAATCAGAAGTTCAAAGCCAATCTTGGTAATTATAAATATATAATGTTCAAGGCCATCTTAAGCTACGTGAAGTATCATATAAAAAATAATAAGGGGTGGGTAGTGCACACCTTTAATCCCAGCACTCGGGATAGGGACACCTATGGGATTAGAACAATAGCTGGAATGTAACTGGTCAAAAATAAAATTAGGCATACTAGTGAAACAGTGAGGTTGTGAAGGCAATGTTGAGTTTGGGAGGTTTTTGTTCTTTAAAAACTGCCACCTGTTAAGAAATTTAAGAGCTTTTCTTCCAGGGTAGCAGATCATACTCTCCTACCACCACCACCTTTCACTGTAGACAAACCCATGTAGCTCTGAGGTGGCTGCTTGGGAGTGTCCTTTGAGGAAGGGTAGCATCTTCCCTGGCCACAGGAGGGAGACTGGTCAGATAAGTCAAGCACCACCGCCACATTCTGGTGCAGGAGACATAACCCCACTCAAGGAAAGCTGAATATCTTGTTAGCCAAGATAATATGTCAAAGGTTTTTCTTCCTATTAGCAAGAGTTGCTGAAAAAGAAGTCTCCCTTTTCATCACCAGATTTCTCCATGAGCCTCTAGAAATCATCTTGCAACCAGGAAAAGTCATCACCATCCATCTACACTGGATGGGCACAAAAAAAAGGGGGGGGGACAGGACTTTTTTTTGGGGGGGGGTTCAAGACAGGGTTTCTATGTGTGGCTTTGGAGCCTGTCCTGGCTCTCACTATGTAGACCAGGATGGCCTCGAACTCACAGAGATCAGGCTGCCTTTGGGATCAAAGGAGTGTGCCACCAATGCCTGGCAAGGAACAACATTCAAACTGGTAGATGGATCTGGAGAGATGGCACAGTAGTTGAGACCATACACTGGTCTTCAGACAGAATCTTTGTCAGACGCTCCTAAGAGCCAGTAACTCCAGCTCCAAGGCAATCTAATGCCCTTGGCCTCCACAGGAATATCCTCACACACATGCACACACCCACCCATATTCACACATAATTAAGAAATAAGTATTTTTAACAACTGAATTGGTAAAGTCTGAAATGCTAAATTATCCAGCCCTGAAACCTTCCTACCTTCAAGTGTCTTGTTTTATGAGAAAATACACTTTGTAAAGTTAAAACCATTTACCTTGAATCTTAATTCAGCTGTTTTAGCCAACGCCTCTGGGTACATGCTATTTTCTAGCTATTAATACAAGACAGAGCTTCCAAGTGTGGTGATACATTATTTTATCAGTAATCCTTCTGTATTCTCTCTTGGCTGGAAACCATACTCTAGCTCCACTCAGATACTCAACAGTACCTCACAAGTTTGTCCCTGCAGAACTAACAAGTCCCTCTTTGACCCCTAACATTCTCTGAACTTACTAGCCTAGCAAGCCAATTCTACCACATAACTATACTAAATGAGATACTACATGCAGAATAAACACACACATGCATGTGCATTTTGCAGTACTCAAGATTAAGCTGTTAACAGAAAAATTCCCTTCCCCTAAGGACTTCAGTATGTATCGCTGAAGAGTATCCTTTTATACAGGATTACAGCACACTTGTCAAATTCAGGAAGAATAACACTAAGTTACATTAATATACTGACCCTATTCAACTTCATGGTTGTCCCAATGACTTTTATCATGTTCCTTTCCCTTATTAAAAAAAACCCATTTAGAATCCTAGTATATTTACTCGTGTCCATGTCATTTTGGTTAATCTACAAAGAGTCCTTAGTCACTGGTTTCCGTAAGTGACTTTTGTTTTGTTTTTCAAGACACGGTTTCTCTGTGAAACAGTCCTGGCTGTCCTGGATCTCACACTCTGTAAGATTCACCTGCCTCTGCCTCCCCATTACTGAGATTAAAGGTGTGAAACTCAGTAGCCGCCGCTGCAGCAGCCACCACCAGCGCGAGTGACATTTCTAAAGAATTAAGGCTGGTTTTTTTTGTTTGTTTGTTTGTTTTGTTTGTTTGTTTTTAGGCAGTCCTTCAGATGGGGTACCTAAGAGGGTCCTAACTGGATTGTCAATTTGAAGAAAGAAATATGATCCTTGAAAAGCAGACAACCCAGAGGATTCTCTTGTTTCCCATTGAGTGCATCCATAGCTCTTAGCTACAAAATTATCTGAAACTAGGAGATTCACTAAGGTTTCCATATACAAGTCATACAAAACACAATTTAAGTGTTGGGAAAGTAGTCTGGTAATAGAATGCTTTACATACCATGTATGAGATCCTGAGTTTGCTCTCCCACCACAGCAAAGGGGAAAAAATTCACAATAAATCCTCTCTACCACAGGCAATATTTTATGTGCTGCCTTCCTGCTTCCCCACCGCAACCTGGCTCACACATGTGAGCTAGTGCTCACTTGCTCTCTCTCTCTCTCTCTCTCTCTCTCTCTCTCTCTCTCTCTCTCTCACACACACACACACACACACACACACACACTCTCTCTCTCTCTCTCTCTATTTAGTACTTTAAAAAATGGGGGTTCATTTTTAATTATGTGTATGTGGCAGAAAGTGAGGAGTACACATTGGTGCAGTGCTCAATGGGACCAGAGGAGAGCTGGAGTAACAGGCAGTTAGTTCTAAGTGTGGAGCCAAACTACTCTGTACAGGCAATACCCATTCTTTTATTTTATTTTGTTGGTTTTTCGAGACAGGGTTTTTCTGTGGCTTTGGAGACTGTCCTGGAACTAGCTCTCGTAGACCAGGCTGGTCTGGAACTCAGAGATTCACCTGCCTCTGCCTCCCCAGTGCTGGGATTAAAGACTTGTGCCACCACTGCCCAGCCCAATACCCATTCTTAACTGAGCTCTCTCCAGCCAATTGTTTTGCTAAGGAGGATCCCTCATGAGATGCCTCTTTAGGGTCACTGGATTGTCAATTTCAAGAAGGGAATCTGATCCTGGAAGGGCAGACAACCCAGAAGTTTCTCTTGACTAGTCAGCACTTCTTAAATCTCCTGTTTTCAGTGTAGCTCTCCTCAATCCTTGAGGGAGGACAGGGAACTTCATCCAAACCAGTAAGTCAAGTATGACCAAATCTGGTGTCCTTATCCGCCTGGGGTGGGATGAAGAGACCATGTCAGACACTGGATCAGCAAACACAACCTCAGAATTTCCCTATGAACTCTTTTAAGTATCTCAAGCACTCTTCCCTGAAGGGGGGAGCAGAGTGAAGAAATGTGGGAAGTAGATGTTTAGGTAAATTCATAGGGCCATGTTTGAGAGAAAACAATGGAAAAGCTGAACCCAGCAATTCAGATCCCCACTTAACACCTGGCCACATGTCCTTGGGGCAAACTGCTTTTCTTCATCCTAAACTCCTCACCTGCAAAGCAGAGTTAACCACATGCTAGAGTTATATGATGATAAAAGTTGGAGGACATCCTGTACCACAGATAGGAGTTAATTTATAATATCCTGAAGACAACCAGGTGTGGTGACACACACCTTTAATGCAGCACACTCAGGAGGTAGACAGAGGCAGATGGACTTCTGTGAGTTCCAGGACAGCCAGTGATACATAGTAAAGCCCTGTCTTAAGTAAACAAATACTTAAGCAGAAATTCACTCTAACCATTTCTTACCTTTAATATGTACCCATCACTCTACCAATCAACAATCAGACCAGTTTCATTGACATAGTATTCTACTTCTTATCAAACACACACACACTTTAATAATTTTGAACAGGGTCTTTTCCCTGATAATTATTTTGGTTTCAGTTTTTATTAGCTTGTTACCTTTTGTCTTTCTTAACCACTTTTATTATCCATTTAACACATTTAACAGCTGTTTGGGTGCAGCTAGAGTTGAACAATTGTTACATCCTCATCTACAAATCCAAATACAAGAACCAGTACAACCAAATATCCTAGGTGTGGCTGTTTTTGTTTTGTGTTTGGTTTTTGTTGTTTTGACACAGCATCTCACTGTGTACTCCTGGCTCACCTGGGACTCAAAGTAGATATGTAGACCAACCTAATCTTATCTCACAGAGATCTGCCTGTCTCAGCCTCCCATATGCTGGGACTAAAGGCAGGAGACACCATACCAGGCTCGGGGTGTGGCTCTTTTAAAAGACAGATGGTCTGCAGACATGTTCTCACCACTTTTCCCTATTCTCTAATTTAAAAAATCAAAAGCAAGTGAAGACAACGAGCCAGGATACCATGACACAGCACACCTAGCTTTCTGCACATCATAGTATCCCAACAGTGTGTTGAGTAACAATAATCTAACCCATCTGAAGTCCCAAAGGGTCATCTCAGGGCTGCCACTTCCAATCCCAGACACAGTCTCACCAGAGCCCTGAAACAATGCAAAGCTGAAGCTGGACAGACAGGGACACCCTCCTTCGAGGGCCTTTGCCTTAGCAAAAGTCGAGGTCACACATCAAATACCAACAACTCCTCGTATTT